ATCTTCAAACAGTTTTGTTGCTCTTAAAATTGGTACCAAAAGTGGAGCCTGCCTACAGTTTTCACCAGTCTATCCTGTAGTGTGTGTTCCATCCAGTTTCTTTACTGTAGACAGTGAACGTCCTTGGAAATAATAGCAGGAAGTGTTTATGCAGATGAACTTGTTACCAGAATTCACAAAGTCTGGCAGATGCACTCATTAAAAGGTGAAACATCAGTGGCAAATGGCAGCCAGTCAGAAAATTCAGTCTCTATCCCATCCATTGTATTTGAACCTATCAACACTTCTGAAAACTATCAGTCCAGAAATGGAGAGGTCTGTGAGACACCACTCACTTCTCTTACAAAGTCAGATTCCACAGCAGGAGAAAGATCAGGCCCTGCCACTCCATCTCAGGAGCCAGTGGATGTGTGAATCAGGGACCTGTGAGGACCTCCCTGTCAGGGTGGAAAGATTAACCAAAAACCATGAAGAAAGAGAAAAGGCAGAAGGTGGGGCAGCTCAAGAGCATATAAAACAACAACAGATTGCATTGGATTATGCAGAGAGAGCTGCTCGTTTTGCAAAGACAAAGGAAGAGGTAGAAGCTGTTAAAGCTGCTGCCTTGCTGGCTAAACAGCAAAGATGGAAGTTAAGGGGGACGCTTCTGTAAGAGAAAGAAGCACAGATGCAAGAAATCAGTTCTGTCTTCCTGATAGTTCTTCCTGACGAATCAGCTCCCTTCTGACTCGCGGTAGAAGAGGCAAGGCAGTCTGCTGCACAGATGTTGGCAACACTTATAGTAATTTTGCATTAGCAACTGTGTTTCCCAGGAAAGAATTTACCAAAGAAGATTACAAAAAGAAATTACAGGATTTGGAGCTTGCCCCGAGTGCTTCAGTGGTACTTTGCCAGCAGGAAGATCAACTACATTCTTGTACATTCTTCCAGTGGAGAACTTGGGCATCATCGGAGACAGTACCTGTTCCTTGCCAGCTGGAGATTGATTAGCAACTTCTTATTTAGTAATCCTCCTCCTGCACAGACCTCAGTGAGGGCAGTGTCTTCAGAATCCTCCCACCTTGCATCATCTAGCAATTCAGAAAAAAAGGGAACCTATGGGAAAAAGGGTGCTGGAGAAGTGGGGAAAGACTTTAAAAAGGAGGCGAAGACATATGGATTGAGGACTCAGTGTGATGGTGAAGCTGAAAATAACACTTGGAATGGAAATTCTACTCAACAGTTTTTAGTGTGACAAGTACATTATGAGCAATAACCATTGTTTCTCTAATGATTTAACTCAACTGAAATTCTGCTGGAGAGGAAGGACTACTTTATGTTTTCTAACCAATCTATAAAGTATCTCTTGATTCCTGCTTAGTAGGTTAAAGACGTTTAACTCAGACAAGTCAAGAAATAAAATAACTCGCTCCTAGGTCCTTGTGTATGGTAACCAACTGCTAGAAGCCTAAAAGGATCAAAAGGTCCGCCACCACCTTCCTTTATCAGCTTCCTTATTCAGTATTTCATATACCCCTTAGCTCTCAGATGATATGTTTTGTTTGGAGCTATTTTGCTCCAGAACTCCTACACCCACAAAGTAACTGGTATGTCACTGAGTAATTTCACTGAGTATAGCATTTTAACTAGCCAATCAGATGATAATTTATGGGGTTTTTTTCCTCTTTCCACTCATCAACTACAAGCAAAAAGCTTAACTTTTCAATCCTAAACACTGAATAAAAAACCTTCCCCCCCAAAAAAAATTGATTTAAGCATTTTCTGTGTCACCCGGATGACCCAATACCGACATAGATTCAGGGCCCGCTTCGGTTCTTGAGTTTACAGTTGCATCGGCCCCACATGACCTTCTGTGGCCTCAGCATTTCACTTCCAGTGTCAGCTTTGAACCTGGGTTCTTGGAAGCCTGAGTAACAGGTTTTCAAGTTTAAGAAACACTGCTGAGTCTGGGCCAGTCCCTATAGTTGTGTAGGTTCATAGCAGAAGAGTGTGGGCATGGCCACCTTGATGAATTCTTACCAAGTCTGTGCCTAGTCATCATGGCTTCCAGCCTTGGGACTGGTTTTCCCAGGAAGGTTCTTTTGTCTAATCCTCACAAAGATGATGTAGAGTTGACATTGGCTCTAGGCACATGCTATTCCCAGACTAATTGTTCTAAAACATAGCCATGTTTACCACGCCCCTCTCTTTGTGTTCCCAGTTCTCATCTGAATTAAGAACAGACTCCTCACTCTGAACATGCTGTTCTGGCCTGAGCAGCAGCTGTACCTTTCCTTGTACTTTGCCCTTCAGCCAAGCTGGATCTGAACACATTGTGCACTTTCTGGCCTGTCTGCTCCCATGCATGCACCTCTCACCTCCAGGAATGTAATACCTGCCACCCGCTTCTGCCTGGCACAGCGCTGGAGCTTCCCAGCCCCCCCCCCCAGCACAGATTATACTTCATAAGTTGTCTCCATGCTTCTCTCCACCCCCACTAATGTCATCTCTCCTGAGAATTAGCATGATGTGGTCACAGTGGTGGAGCCAAAAGTGTAATTTTGATTCCTCCCAGCAGAACTCTTTTCTCTTCACCTGTGAAGCACAAAAGCAACACAGAAATATCTTCTCTGCATTAGCAGAACAGTTTTTAGGACTAAGTGCTTGGTCTAGTGCCTGTCCCAGGCAAGGCACTCCACCACTAAGATTTCCTTCTGCTGCTGCTTCCTTGGAACCCCCTTATTTCCACTCTTACTGACCATCTACAGGATGGCCTTTCCTGTGCTCTGCTGTTTTACTCTCTTGGAGTTTTTGTCACCTTATCCACTAGACTGAAAGCTCCTTGAAGTGTAAAGGCTGCATCTTGTTTTATATATAGTAAATGCTTAATAAACACCTGCTGAACAAAATTGGCATTTTAATCTCACAACGCCCCCAGTCTGTTAGAAACATAATCTTACTAGTCTACCCATGGCAGTTGGTGAGAAGAGCTCTAAGAGAGGTGGGAGGATAAGGACATGGACCTTTCGGGTCAACTGCAGAACACTTTCCAAAGTTGATGTCTTCGATACTCATATGGAAATGCCTGTGGAGCTCTGTTGTTACCCCTAAAATCTTTGCCCTCAGACTAGTGTTGTTCATTTCTAAAGAAGTGATCAGTGAGTGTTGTTCTTTCTGTGTTTATCCTTAAGCTTTCTTGTTTTATTCCCATTGGATCATCATTTAGATGTTAAGCATGTGACATGGTCATAAGGATTTTGCACTCATTTTTAGAATGGCCCCATCTATAAGGGATGCTAGCCATGCAAGTTGTCATTTGTCCATCGTGTTATTATGGTTAGTATTGTATATTACTAGTGACTCAGAGTATCTTCTTAGGTCTGTAACTCTTGGTAAGGTGAAAACCTCACATGTGACAGTTGACCAGGTGCAGGCCTGCATTTGGTGATGCCTCCGTCAGCCGCCTGTTGTTCTGAATGCTGTTTTTCTCTCTCATGCTGCTCTCTGTGGAAGACACCTCAGTGTCACCTTGGGGTGATACAGGACTTTTAAGAAAATCTGTCACAGCAGGAAAACAGTTTTAGACTTAAGGCGATGTTAATTTTTTGCAGCTCCCTTAGGAAATCCACAGGTGCTATTCAGAAGTTAAACCACATAGTAAATCAATATGCACATAGGCGATTGGTCTTTATTTCCCTGGAGAAGCGCAAAAGCAAGATAAACGGTGAAATCTCTTTACTTTGGGCTAGAATGGCTCGTGTTAGCTTATGGTTGTAACGTTAGTTCTGTAATTTTTAAATTAAAAAATTGATTATTGAGAAATGAAAGTTTCTTAGTAATATATCAAGATGGATTTTTTTTCTCTAAAGTTTCTTCAGACAAGAAAAAGAATTGGAGTGGTTGACCGAACTCTGTTTCCCAGAGGGCTATGCAGCATGAGGAGGGTCAAGGGTCTGGAAGGAGGTGTGAGAGTCTGTGGCAAGGAGGGGACATACGACGGGGTTTTGTATAGCTGCTCTGAAGCCTTAGGTGGAATTAGCAGATGAGGAGAATCTTTAAGATATTCTGGTTCAATTTATGCAACACATCTTCAAGAAAGCATTACAGTGAAGGTGTGTGTTACTCAGCAAGGTTTCTGGAACTGCGTTTGCATTTTGTTTGACTCCTCAATGGGCCTGTTAGATCTCAAGGTAACTCAACTATGTTAGGGTTATAGCTGAAGGGTCTCTTACAGCTCAGATTTGGGGAAAACAAAGTAATAAAAAGAACCCATGATGGAAGGGTCGAGAGCCATGGTCATTCCAAGATGTGCAAAACAGAGAAAAATTAGTATTTAGGGAAAAAGCAACTTCACAGAGTTGAGAATGTCTAAGTGTGTTTTTGTTTTGTTTTCCGTGAGTTAGGTACAAAGTAGGATTTTGAGAAACTTTCATTAAGCAGCATTTGTATGTAAAATATTTTTAAGAAAAAGAACAGTATTAGTGTAAGTGAGCTTTCTGTATGCTGACAAAGCTGCACGTGACAATTTTGTCTTTTTACTCCGCGACTAATCTCGTAACAGCTACTCTCAGGCCCCTTGCATCAAATTGAAAATGCGGAACCTGGACAAAGAATGAATGTCTCTGATTGGCGTCCTGGTGTTCTCCCTCCCACAGGTATGCAGATGAACTGCTCTCCTTGAAACTGGAAGTTTTGTCCCAAGGGCAAGAGAACTTAAGCTGGAATGAAATTCAGAATTGTATTGATATGGTTAATATTCAGATTCAAGAAGAAAAGGACCGTAAGTATGGAACACTTTCTTATCTAGTCTAGTGGGAAACAAGGTGTCTGGACAACTTGGCTCTCTAAATTAGGGCTACAGATTTGTACACATGAAGCCCTGTGGCAGCACACTCCCCTAACATGTACGTATGTATATATACATAAATTGTATGCCTGTGCTACTGCACCAACATATCACAAACACGACGAGGTATGCATGAAAAGGCATGAATGGACATAATAAAAACACATGTAAATAGGGGGTGTGATCAGAGCAGGGCGCCGGAGACTGGCTCCTCTGTTTACAGCACGTCCAACAGCAACTCGGGTGTGCTCCTCACAGGGGCCGGGCACCGTGGCTTCCTGTGACGGTACGCCCTACATGTGGGAAAAAGCCCTAAATAGGGGTCCTAATAATTTTTATTTATTGGTACTTCAAAGATGACTACTCTATATAACTCAGTTTTTTAGGCACTGAACTTTATTTTGACCTTTCATTTGGACATGTTTCTGAAAGGAAAACATACATATTCCTGCCCTAGGAAGAAATTGGAACATAACCTAACTGGAGCTGTATAATCAGAAGTCATGGCAAATTGCTGTGTTTGTAGAAATTATGAACTACCAGCATGAAAGTGGACAGGCTCTGGAAGATGTGCCCTGAAACATGCTTTCTTGAATGTCACTTGCTTCCTTATCATTTGCCTCTGGTCTATAAAAACAGTGAGGAATGAGGAGCTGTGTAACTCAGCAATCAGTATATTCACTGCTTTTCTGCAGCATGAATTACCAACTTCAAGCTCTAAGCTGCTTTTTCCGTCATAAAAACAAACCAACCAGCACCATCATCTCTGACTTCCTCTGAGCTCTGTGATCTGTCAGCAACATTGGATTCGGATTGCTAATGTTGTTGAGCTCCCTTCCACACTCGGGTTTGACTTACTTTTCTAACTCACTTATTCTAAGTTTGCTAATAGAGTAGGCGGGTACTTCTCTCACAAGTTTAGGCTGCTTTGTCCTAGTGTGTTTTGGGAAGGTCTTAAGTCTGGTCTTCCCAATGCCTTAACTTTAGGATGGTACAATTACTCTTGAGATAAAACGAATGGCTTTGTTAGTTCATTGTATTTGCATAGTTTCCTTCTCTGTTTACTGTTTCCTGCAAGCACTTGTGCCCAATATCAGGCTGGGTTTGTTTTGTTTTGTTTTTTATTAAACTTCTCACTCTAGGCCCCAAATACAATAGAAAGCAGGGTGCAGGCGGGCTGCCTTGGCATCGTGTGCCATGGATGGACCACTCTTACACTGACCACTAGACTCTTTCTTCTGTTTGTCCTTGTCAAGTTGTGTACAAATCCAAATGTCCTCTTTGGCAACCACACAGCTTTCTGCTGCCTCTCCACATTCCCGTTCAGTGAGCCTCTTGGAATCCCGGCAGTCAGATGGTTTATATGAGAGCCACTTAGCTCTTGTCCAGCATGTTGGCTTGGGAGTTGGTGGTTGTTGCCAGATGTTAATCAAGAGGGAAGCACTAATTTGCGCAGATGTTCAGCATCGACTGCTGGGGGGAAAGATCCTGGTGTTTGTGTCCTGTTACAGAGCTTAGTGTCCCAGGCCTCTGTCCTACCGCCTTCCTCCTGGACACCCAGCTGCACACTTGCAGTCTCCTGCAGCAATGGTTTGGCCGCTTTGGCTATTGCCACCCAAGGGTGGGACTCCTCTCTTTGAGTAGGCAAACAAAGAATCATGTCTCATCTTTGTTTTCTAATTTTTCCCAATTCGTTTTTTTTTTCATTAAAAATTTATTAAATTTTGGGGGGTGACATTGGTTAATAAATTTATATATGTTTTTTAAGTGTATAATTCTAGAATACATCATCTGTGTATTGTATTGTGTCTTTACCACCCAAAGTCAAGTCTCCTTCTGTTACCATTTATCCCCCTTAATCCTCTTCTACCTCCCCCACCTCCCTTTCCCTCTAGTAACTGCCATACTGTTGACTGTGGCTAAGAGTTTGTTTGTGTGGGGGGTTTTTTTGTTTGCTTAATCCCTTCACCTTTTTCACTCAGTCCCCCCAACCTGCCTCCCCTATATGTATAATCTTCTATTAATCTTCTCTGTATGTATAAGTGTGTTTGTATTTTGTTTATTTATTTTATTCATTAGACTCTACATATAAGTGAAATCATATGGTATTTGTCTTTCTCTGAGTGGCTTACTTCATTTAGTGTAATTAATACCCTCCAGGGTCCTGACTGGTGTGGCTCATCTAGTTGGACATTATCCCACAAACCAAAAGGTCAAAGATTTGATTCCTGGTCAGGGGGCATACCTAGGTTGCGGGTTCTGTCCCCTGCTGGGGCTCATGAGAGAGGCAACCGCTCAATGTTTCTCTCTTACACGTTGATGTTTCTCTCCTGGTCTTTCTCCCACCCTTCCCCTCTCTCAAAAAAAAAAAAAGAAAAGAAAAGAAAAGAAAAAAAGAAAAGCTTTTCAGGTCTATCCATGTTGTCACAAAAGGTAAGATTTTCTCTTTTTTTCCAGCCAAGCACTATTCCATAACTTTTTCCCAATTCTTCCTGACAACACTGGCAGGACAGGTCTGCTTTGGTTATTTTGGTAGTTGTTATGCAAGTGAAGGTGCATTAGTTCTCAGTGCTGACCAAATTGTAGTTTTACTCTCATTCTTGACTTTGATTGAAAAGGAGAGGGGGTGACATATTTGTCCCAGGCTGTCTAATAAAGTGTTTGCTTTTACCAAGAAAAGGAAAACAAGTAACATTTGTATAACTTAAAAAGAGAGCGATCTTTTGTAGGTGGTATGGCATTAATCTAGATAACTGTGGTATTCTCCGTGAGCTGTATCACATGGCGCCTATCATATTTCTTTTCAACATCTTGTCATGAAGGGCATATGCCATATCCGGGAGAGTTATTTCAGATATTCTGTATCATATTTTCTTTCTACTTTTTGGGGAATTGAATACAGAACGTTTAACTTTTCTGTTTTGGTTTGGTTTGTTATTTGGTCAAAATGAGGTATTTTTGTTTAAAGTTCCTCAAGTATTGAGTTTGATACCATATACTTAGGTAATTGCTTAAAAAGCTAATTTTTTATAAGACCACATACTCAGATTTTATTTATTTTTTTAAGATTTTATTTATTTTTATTTTTAGAGAGGGAACGGAGGGAGAAAGAGAGAGAGAAACATCAATGTGTGGTTGCTGGGGGCCATGGTCTGCAACCCAGGCATGTACCCTGACTGGGAATTGAACCTGCGATGCTTTGGTTCGCAGCCCTCACTCAGTCCACTGAACTATTCCAGCCAGGGCAAAGAGCTAAATTTTTAAAGTACACTATCGTGAACAGGCACGAATTATACAATATAATAATTAAAACATCTGAAAGAGCTGAGAATTTTTTGTGGACATCTTGAAAGTGCATTACTCTCCCCTCCCCACCCCTGCCACGTGCTCCCAGCTCTGACCCTCTGTGTGCCTTGTGATGTGGAGAAGGTGTGCAGCTGATGGGAAATGATAAATGTGGAAGGTGAATTTGATAGAGAAGATGCTAAATGCATTTTGTTAGACTTGGATGCTCTCTTGATTTCTGCCTGGAAAGTTCACTTTTCCCAGTAGAGCCATAGATGAGCATTATTTTAACCATGCAGCCTAGACAAGAAAGTTTTCTTCCTTTGAATTATTTCAATTAGAATTGTTGCTTTTTACATTTGGTAGGTACCATTCTTTGTAGGTTGCCTCCTCTGCTGTCTCAAATATACAGCCTATAAGAGGATGCCCACTCTGTCATTGGACTAAAAGGGTATAGTCTCACATGATGACTTGAAGAAGTGGGCCATGAGCTGAGGCTCTGTAATCTTTGCTCAAATGGGATTTCCCCTTGACTTATAACTGAGGAAGTGATCAGATGGACCAGGAGGCTTCTGGGTAGGTCTTTCAGCTCCTGTGAGGTCATTTACTGTGACCTCAGCAGCTGTGTCCTTAGAAACACACCAAACAAAACTTAAGCAGGTGATTTCAATCAAGTCAGCTGGCATGCAATCATTCCTGGGTGAGCAGCCATTGGGAATACACATTTCTCATAGTTTTGTTAAGATCATTTTTGGATGGGGTGTTTAAAAGTATTTAGAACAATCTACCCAATGAAAGGAAGTATTTTGTGCTCTCTAATTTATAATACTCCAGGGTAAAATGATAATACCTCATGTGTGAATAGTACTTAGACTTTCCTGAGTTTTTTTCCAATGTTTTGAAATAATGTAACTTGCATGTTAGAGAAGTACTTTTACTTTTTCTTCAAACATATTTCAGTACTATAAGCAGGAATAATTTCTAGTCATTTTAGATTGTTCCTTCCTCCTGATAAATCTTTTCATTCTTAGCAAGGTGGTATTTATGGAGTCATCTATTTGGGACATGCTTAGCTAAATATTTTACCTTAATTCCCATATTAAGATGAAGATACTTTTTAAAAATTAATAGTGCTTGTTCTATTTCATAGCATATCACATTTGTAAAATAACTTGTGACTGTTTTTGATGAAAAATAACTGACAAAATGAGAAGTAATAAGTTTGGCTTATTACTTCTCATAAGTAGAAAGTAGAGTAATCCAAAGAATAAAATGTATATCCAAACCTTTTTGCATTTCAGGCTCTTTTCCCCTGTATATCTCTACATTAAATTCTTCCAGCTCCGGTATTCTGTGATTCCCTCATCCACTATCTAAGTGAGGGCTGCATTAGAAATTAACATCCCTGCTGCTACTGGTGTATAAAGTTATCCCCCTTTTTATAGCAACTTCATTGAGATATTCACATACCATAAAATTTACAGGTTTATTGCTTTCATGGTAGTTTTTATGTATTTAAAAGTTGTGCAACAGTTATAAGACTTCTGTCCAGGTGTCTTCAGATGGTTATTCAGGTTGACTTTCCATATTTTAGCTGCAACTCTGATACGGTGCTGGGAGGAGGCAAGTGTGAACTTCTACCTCCAGCACTGCCATCTTGCCATCTCACCACTGCCTAAACTTAGAACATCTCCATCACCCCGAAAAGAAATCTCATACCCATTAGTAGTCACTCCTATTTTCCCCTCCTCCCATCCCCTGTGAACCACCAATCTACTTTGTTTTTATGGATTTTCCTATTCTTGACACTTCATATAAATAGAATCACGTAATATGTGGCCTTTTGTGTCTGGCTTTTTTCACTTAGCATAATGTTTTCAAAGTTAATCCATGTTGTATTACTTATCAGTGTACGAGGTCTGTCTAGAACATATCCAGCCATGTAATATGAAAAATAAGAGACATTTACTGAGGGTTATTCAAGTTATAAGAAACATTGAACATAGAACAATGCCG